TGGAAATGGAGTTAAAGGAATAAACTCAGAAGAGTCTAAAAACCTATCAGTAAAACTTCAAGCCATATAGACGCCAGAATGGAAACTGCGGGTAACAGAGATGAGTCAATAAAATGCAGTGAAAGAAGGAACAGGTCAAAATATGAAGGGAAAACAAAATAAACTTTTGATGATGGGGCGCCTGGGTGGCTCAGTCGTTAAGCGTCTGCCTTCGGCTCAGGTCATGATCCCAGGGTCCTGGGATCGAGCCCTACATCGGGCTTCCAGCTCTGCGGGAAGCCTGCTTCTCCCTCTCCCACTCCCCCTGCTTGTGTTTCCTCTCTCTCTGTGTCTGTCTCTGTCTAAGAAATAAATAAAATCTTTAAAAAAAAAAACTTTTGATGGGATTTAAAAAATTTTAGGGGTGCCTGGGTGGCTCAGTCAGTTAGGCAGCTGGCTCTAATGATTCTGGCTGAGGTCATGATCTCAGAGTCCTGGCTGAGGGTCCATGTCGGGCTCTGCGCTCAGCAGGGAGTCTGTTTGAGGATTCTCTCCTTCTCCCTCTGCCCCTCCCCCACTCTCTCTCTCAAATAAATAAAACTAAGAATAAGATAAAATAAAAAATGAAAAAATTAGTATTCTGCAGCACTATGTGTGTTATTTTTGTATTTTTAAATGATGTTCCATTAATACTTTTCTTCTTTGAAATGTCACTTTACATCTTATTTTACATAACTAACTTAAAAATTTGAAACTTTTTCATGTTCCATGAAGAATACTTTAGAGTCTGCTTTACAGCTCACGTCCTGATTTAGAAGTTGCAAAGGACATAATAAGGTACAGTCACTGTGGGATACAGTCCATGTTAAACTACTCTAAAAGTCACATACTGTAAAATGTATGATTCTAATATTTATTTTGGTCTACTACATTTATGTTCTATGGAAGTTCAGTCATGCAAAGATTTAAAAGAATACTCTGTCCAGGGCACTAGTGTGCTATAAATACATACAAAGGTCAGCAAGGTAGTCTAGCTGAATAGGTAGGGGGAAAAGAAAATGTGTTTGACAAACTTGTTTCAATCTCTTCCACCAGAGTTAACAAAAGATGTTGGGAAATTTCAGGCAATGAAGGTAGAATGAAAACATGTGGTCTGTTTGTAACAGGTAGACGAGAAGTTATTGGATCAATTCTTGCTAAAACAACCGAGAAAGCTGAAGCATTAGTAAAGAAAATTCACCTAAATTTCTTTAAACTTAGTAATTATGTTACATTAGGGACGGCTGGGTGGCTCAGTTGGTTAAGCAGCTGCCTTTGGCCCGGGGCCATGATCCCAGAGTCCTGGGATCAAGTCCCACATCAGGCTCCTTGCTCAGCAGGGAGCCTGCGTCTCCCTCTCTCTCCCTCTGCTTGTGCTCTGTCAAATACATAAAATCTTTAAAAAAAAGATAATTATGTTACATTAGAGAAGTCTGTACTTTGTAATGTCATGTTTTATATATTGTAATGATTTTTTGGTACATAAAATAAAAATATTCTATCATTAAGATAACAGGAAGTTATAAATTTATGTTCTCAGGAGTGGCTAGGGATACCTGGCAATTTAGTAAGAGTTTTAAAAATTAATTTTTTATTATGGAAGTATAGTTGACATATGTTATATTAGTTTCAGGTGTACAACAGTGATGTGACAATTCCATACATTACTCAGTGCACACCACGATAAGTAGAGTCACCATCTGTCACCATACAACATTATAGTAATACTTGTTTGATTGATCACTTTTGCAACCAATTTTTTAAAAGTCAGGATTGGTGGAATAAAACTAAAGTCCACAGCCTTGTTGGCAAAAGGCTACGGTAGATGTTTATAGTGAATTTATAAATGTAGCTCTCTTTCCTGTTTTTCAAAATGTAGTTATTACATTTTAGCCTCACTTCTGCCTCTCTTGGCCATTAAATGGTAAGTTTCCTAAACATATCCACAGGTTATATCCATCAGTTATATCCTTAGGCCAAACAAATAGAGGTCATCTAACTCACTTTTGGTCCCTTAGGTAATTTACTCAGGTCCCATTATCTGATCTCAAAGTCAAGTTTATGGGAGAAAAACACAAACAATGTAAATCCCAGCAGTTTGGAGGTGAATTAAAAATCTCCCAAGTCAGTACTTCCCTCAAATGTTAAATAATTCACTGTGGCATTATAGATACAAGCCTCTAGCAAAAGTTACACTTGAACAATTAAGGAAGCAAGAACCAAACAAATGACTTCAGGGGTAGAGAAACAAATTAATGATTTCTCATAGTACTGTGCCAAATTACATTTTCACATTCACAAGTGTGTAAAACACCCAAGCATCACCAATGACTTACTAGATTAAGTTTGATTATAGAAAATAGCCTGGAACAACACACCAGGATTTTTTTTCTTTAAATTTTTTATTGTTATGTTAATCACCATACATTACATCATTAGTTTTTGATGTAGTGTTCCATGATTCATTGTTTGTGCATAACACCCAGTGCTCCACGCAGAATGTGCCCTCTTTAATACCCATCACCAGGCTAACCCAACCCCCCACCCCCTCCCCTCTGGAACCCTCAGTTTGTTTTTCAGAGTCCATCGTCTCTCATAACACACCAGGATTATTTGCTAAACATAATTATGGATTCTATACACTTGGGTATGAAACCCATTTATATTATTTATAAAGTTTTTATATTCACAATGTACCACCTACTCTTTTGTAAAGTTCTTTTACAATTGTTCATGTTACAATAATCATCTGTCAAATGTGTTATATTCCTGTAAAGGATTAGAAGGTGATGCAAATGTTTTTTAGTGGCCAGATAAGAAATTCAAAACATAAGATCACATCACAGTGCATTGTGCACATACAGATATCACCACCTGCCTAGTAGAAAGGGGGAACACTTTAAAGTAAAAGCGGGATTTATGGGGCACCTGGGTGGCTCAGTCATTAAGCGTCTCCCTTCGGCTCAGGTCATGATCCCAGGGTCCCGGGACTGAGCTCCACATTGGGCTCCCTGCTGGCAGGAAGACTGCTTCTCCCTCTCCCACTCCCCCTGCTTGCATTCCTGCTCTCGCTATCTCTCTCTCTGGCAAATACATAAATAAAATCTTAAAAAAAAAAAGTAAAAGCGGGATTGAAATACCTACTCTATCACTTTCCATCTAGAAGATTTTAGACAATTCTTAATCTCAGTATTATCTTCTTTTTCTGCAAAATAGGGATAATTCATTTATGCAAATATTTATGGAACACCCATGCATCAAATAGTACTTCCCAAGGGTTATTTTTACGTTAGGATGAGAGATAATAAAACATAGCTGGTATTCATTAGAGGTATGTATGGTCACCCAATTGCAAGAGCAGAGGCCTGTCCAATCAAATAGGGTCGAAGTCAGCAGACTGAAAATCAACAGAGTTCCTAAAGGAAACAAAGATACATCGGATACAAGGTGCTATGGGGTCCGTTTGCTTTCCAGGGATTAACAAGGTTATTGGTATTCATTACAGATCTTTATGTATTTTCTCTAGTTAACACAACTAAACTCAATCAAGGGCTCTCTACAAAACCATAAGGTACAGTTTTGAGCTCTAATTCAAACCGGTTGGGGGAAGGATGTAGATGTATAAAAGACTTGCCAACTTACTTTCCACTCAGAAGTTTTTCAAAGACATGCTTCCAAGAAGAAGACCCTTTTTGGCAATACTAATTTAATGGATAGTCTAACCTATGTGAAATAAATTCCTTGAATCAGAGTAGAAAAGCAGAATGGAATCAAGAAAAAAACATATGAAATTTGGAAGGAAAAAAACTGTAGTTGGACCCTCAACTTGTCTCATTTGCCAGTTGTGCCACCTTGAAAAAAATCTGGAGGAGGGGTCATTTGTAGCCATTACACTAATAATTTTGCTTGCTTGTGAATGAGGAAGGATCATTAGACTTCATAGCTGGTAAGCAGCAGTCACCTCTAAATATTATGTAAGAAAAAATGTAGGGATAAGACTAGTAGGAATAAAAAAAACTAAGGTATGGATTGATTTTTAAAGTAAATCCATAAGATACAGTAGCCATAAGTCAAACTTCCTAGAAATGTTTCCTTTTGTGAGGAAAATTTCCCCATCACCCACGTTTTTAGAGTGGTTTTAATTTCACATGCCAAAGTCCACCTGCAGAGGCTATACAGAGGCTCTAGAGAGGCTTTTAACACAATGTCCAGTACAATCAATACTAAGTTAAATAAAGTTACTGATACACTATTACTAAAAAATATGCAGTGATTTTTTATGCAGTGATTTTTTAAAAAATAAAAAACTGAAAATTTTAAGTTTGTTTTATATGAAGCAAAAATGACTCACACTCACACATTTGTTTTTTAGTCTAAGTGTGTAGGAGAAAAAATTTCTTATTCTCATAAGTTTAGTAAAAACCTCTTCACCATAAAAATAAGTATAATGAAATGATACAGCACTGAAGTACACTACTTCTCCTAAAATGATAGTTGCAACATTATTTTATAGTTAGGTATCATTCTGAGTAGGTTTAAAAATCATAAATCCTAGGCGAAGGAGGGGTGTCATGAATAGAAAATTTTAAACGGCCAGAATAGAAATGAAAGTTTTCAAATGTATAGGGAAATTTACCAGTTATGCATGGAGCTGCTCAGTCTTAGACTTGTTAAGAACAATAAAAATACATTTATAAAAGGGGGTGGTGGTGCCTGGCTGGCTCAGTAGGAAGAGTGTGTGACTCTTGGTCTTGGGGTCATGAGTTCAAGCCCCACACTGGGTGTAGAGATTGCTAAATAATAAATAAGTAAACTTAAAAAAAAAAAGAACAGTAAAAATACATTTTTAACCTTACAAAATTTGTTAATCTATCCGTGAATCTGAGAATGACAAAGAACTAAATAGTGATCTCCACTGACCATTGTTCAGTAAAAGGAAACACAATTTAGAAAGCGATGTCAAAAGACTAAGTTCTTCTTACCATGAATAGATCCCACTGACCATGTCATAGTTCTGACATGAAGTATTCATGCTGCTGGGCCCAGCTGCTTTAGAAATAAGTAGCACCACCAAGCCCCTCAACTGGAGGTTATGCCGGCTATCATGTACAAGCCCCCTGCCAACAAAGAAAGAAAAGGATTAATATGCTCACCCAGAATCAGCCACATCAAGTTACTATTCACCCAGACTTCCAAAATCAGAGAATGGGACTTGGGGAAAGAAACAGAAGTGGGGGTTAGAAGGAGCTAACAGGAAAAAGCAATGAGTTCTGGAAACAACTAGAGAAACCCATGGCTGGTTTTAAAAGTTGACAGTCTCCAATTGTGAGGCCTAATGATTTGGCTTCCTCTTCTTTCTGGATTTTCCTCGACCCTACACCTTGCACTCTCAACCGTTTGCTCAACCCACAGTTTCAAATTGCTCTGTGGTAGCTAACAGCAACTGAAATACAGATTGTATGGCTTGGATAAAGTGATATTATTTGGTGAAGATGGTGGTAAGGGAGAGTGGTAAAAAATGATTTCTGTCTTCACAGGTAGAGAAGATGCTCAGAGAATTAAAGTGACAAATCCAAAGGACTTAAAAATTTATTTGATAAGTAAAATGGAAATGTATGCCATCAGCAACTCTTGCCATTTCCTATTATTTATGGAAAGCATTATCATTCTAGACAACAATATGGCTGTAACTTAGCATGTCATTTTATTTTTGCGATGAGTATTGAATTTTCATAATTTCTACTATAACTAAGGCCAGGAATACATTGTTTTTCTTTTCCTCAGAGTATTGCAAATGGTTGTCATATATAAGAACTAAATGGCATCATAAGAAAGAAAGAGAGAGAGGAAGGACAGACAGACGAACAAATGAACGAACGAATGAAAGAAAGGAGGAAAGAAAACTATGGGCAATATATTATAATAAATATTAGAACAATGCTAATGAGCACTAATCAAATAGACATTATGCACACATAAATAACACACAAATATAGCTCTTGAATGTAGTGGAAAAAAGTGTTAAAATTGTATACTTCATTAAATTATTAAGTCCTCCTTGGTAAATTTTGAACAAAGAATTAATTTAAATTAACTAAGTTAGGACTAACACACCCAAAATTAATGAGTTAGTTCATTACTTAAGAAAAATTTTTGCCCCTCATCCCTCCAAACAGAAATTTTAAAAAGGGCCCCTTTGTACCCTTACTGGTTTCAAAATAAGACAGATCTTCAGGCTCTCTGCAAAGAAACAGATATAGCTCTTTCTCTAATTATATTTTCCCCTTAATCCAGTAAGTGATCGTCAGCAAGTTTGAGGGGTTAGTATTTTTAAAAAGAAGTTCTAATTTCCTAGGAAAAAGAAGCTAATTTATAGTAATTAAGTTATATCACAACAGAAACAAACAATCATCAGAAATAGCCAAAGCTAGGGCGCCTGGGTGGCTCAGTTGGTTAAGCGACTGCCTTCGGCTCAGGTCATGATCCCGGGGTTCCGGGATCGAGTCCCACATCAGGCTCCCTGCTCAGCAAGGAGCCTGCTTCTCCCTCTGACCCAACCCCCTCTCATGTACTCTCTCTCATTCTCGCTCTCTCAAATAAATAAATAAATCTTTAAAAAAAAAAAAGAAAGAAAGAAAGAAATAGCCAAAGCTCATCGTCATGGAGCTTTCTACTTAAATCCAGTAGACCTGAATGGCTGGAAGGCTGGGAAGCACCCTATTTTATAACAAGTAAATGTAAAGTGGGAGCAGGAGCACTTTCTAAGTTTTCTGTTTTGAATTACAAATTTTAACTTATGCTGCTAGATCCTTATTAATGTATGACCTAAGGTGAATCTTTATTCTTCCCTTTTGAGATAATAATATTAAGGAGAAGGTCTGAATTGGCTCTTAACTTGCGAAAGGACGAAGAGGAAGGTGAGGCTGTGTGTGTGCGCACGTGTGCTTGTTTTTGGGGGGTTGAGACCAGTTAGGGATGAAGGATATGATGACACAGTAAGAACCCCAAGGGGGAGAGAAACTCGAGAAAAGTCTGACCACATCATGCTGATGAAACAGCTCTGGCAACAGTTTTGACACCTTCCTCAAAGCTCTCAGAGATGAGACCTTTCACAGGAGACACACACACAAACTGAGAAGGAGAAGAACAGCAACAAATACTTATATAGTGTTTCATATATGCCAGGAACTGTTCTAAGGATTTACTATATATTAACTAAATCAATTCACAACAACTCTAAGAGGAAGGTACCACAATTACCCTGATTTTGCAGACGAATGAAGAGAACGAGGCACACAGACAGAGAAGTTAAGCAACTTGCTCACAGCTGGTAGGCAGCAGGGCCTTGACGAAGCCAAGATTTGAACCCAGGCCAACTGGCTCTAGAATCTATAAAAAGTCTTAACCATCATGCTATAGTGACTATCCAATCTGCTTCATGTTATGTACAAAACTATTTGCTAATAAGTCAAATTAGAAGAGTGCAGTTTTAGAAACAGGTTTAAAAAAAATCCTTCTCCCATTCACTAGCTGTATGACTTGGGAGACTGTTACCTCCGCTACAAAATGAGGTTAACAACATCTACTCTCCATAGTCATTTTATGGAAGAAGTAACAAGAGTAAAGTATATAACATTGTGGAAGCACGTGGTAGGTGATCATATAATCAGAAAATTACATTCTCTGTCCTTATTACTTTTTTGCCAGCTATCTTTTTTCTCAACTCATATTGTTTTCTTTCTTCTAGTCCATTTCTCCTCCTATCTCTCAAAGTCTAGCCCACTGTATCAGCATACATAATCTCCTTTATAAAGGAGATAAAGTTCCTTTTCTACCTCCCAAAACAACAAAAGTTGAGGAATTCTTCCCACACACTCCCACTCCCTGCAAACATCATCATACATCCCTGAAACACTTGCCACTTTGAGAACGCATTCTGAAAAGGTCAGGAAGAGAAACCGTAGTGGACTAGCTGACAGAAACCAAGAGAACAGTCAGAAAAGCCCAAATTCTGAAAGTGAACACAGAGAAGAGATTTACAGCTTAAGTAAATTAAAAAACTGCTTCCAAACATCACTTCTTCAAATTTACTTCATTAACATGCTTAAAAAAAAAAAAACCTAGTACCAAGATAAACTGATAATGTCCACAGCTCAAAAATTAGCTCACAACCAAAAGAGAATAAAATATTTTGCTTCTGAGCGTAAAAAAGTCCCTAGGATTCTATATTACAGAGACATTATGTTTCATCTAGTCCAGGCCGTACTCTGCCTAAAACAGCATGAGTTCTTCTCAGTGCCTCTCTTCAGGAGGGACACTGGTGAGCCAGAGCATGTCTAGAAGTTGGTGAAATCCTATACTGTCACATGCATGCCTGTAGAAAAAGCTCTGGATGCTAGCTTAGAGAATAGTTCAGTTGGTGTTCTCATATTTATCCAGGCAAAGATGCAGTGAATGCTTACTGCACATTGGGCATGGTGTAAACAACAGTGGACGACATGGTGATGAGCACTGGTGAGCTGTGGTCTCCCTTCTTGTGAATAATACAGTCTGGATTAAAAATCCTAATAAAATGTGGCATGAGCTACTTTAGGGGACGAACAAGGGCTGTGGGAGCACAGAGTAGGGGCCACTAACATAACTGGGGGCAAAGAGAGGTGAAAGAGACCTCCCTGAGACCTTAAGGATGAAGAGGAAGTAGCCAGCGGAGCTAAAGCTGGGAGGGGAAGTAAAGGGAAAAATGAGGTGTTCCAAAGAAGAAACAATATGGGTGAAGGTTTGGAGGAAAGAGAGGAGGGCACAGCTACTTTGAGAACCAACATGGCAGGAGCACAGCGTGTGAGGGGAAGAGTTGGGAGAACGAAAGCTAGAGGAATGCACGAGAGCGGTCTATTCGTCTGGAAGGGCTCCGTCTGGGTAGGAGATAGCATTGCTGCAGAAACTGACACAACTGGATAGAAAATATGAAAATAGAGCATGCCAATTTTGACTAACATGAAGAAATTAAAAAACAAAGTAGCCTCTGGTGATGCTGAGTCCCCTGTTAACAGAGATGTTCGGGAAGCTGCATAGCCTCTGCATACACATTACAGAGAAGCCTGGACTGTTTGACATCTGAAGTATTTTTCTTACTCTGTGATTCTTTAGGATCTCACCTCACTTATTTAATTACCTAGTGCTCTACAGTATGTCTAATAGGTCTAAAAATTGGAAGAATCCTTTATTGTCATCAAAATTATAGTGTCATGAATGAAAGTAATATTAATACCTTGAAATCTTTCTCACTGAAGTTCTACAGAAATTGTGTTCCTTTTAGCTCGTGTCAACTAAAATTTCATCATTCCTTCATGCAACGAATTCAGACTGAACACCTTCCATAAATTAGGCACTGTGCCACGCACAGATGCAATGGCGAGCAAAACCAGGCATGGAGCTTGTGGAGTTTGCAGGCTAGTGGAAGAGACTGGAAATAATGAAAGCATCACAAAGAAATGTAAGGCTGAGGGCGCTGTTCGAAGTGAGGTTGGAGACAGACAGGACTAGACCACAAAGGTTGAACAGGCCATGTGAAGACTTCTGCTCTTTACCCAAAGAGCAACGTGAAGCCACTGCAGTTTTTATTAAGCAGCTGGTGACATAATCAGATAGTTGCAAAAAACCCAAAAAACAAAAAATCCTGTCATCAGTGGAAAAACGACTTGAATGGAGGGGAAGGAGGAAAACAAAGTGGGTATGAGGAGAAGTGTTAGGAGGCTCTTGCAGTAGTCATGAGAAATATGGGGGTAGCGTGGTGGACAAGCTAGAGAGGTACCAAATCTAAAGTAATACTGCAATTCAATTTAAATAGATGGTGGATACTACATAGTCCTGGAAAATTAGCTAATATGGATATAGCACTAATTTTAAATAGTATCATCCTGAAAAGTCTGTAGTTGAATTTTGGGGCAGGGTAGAACTTGGACCCCTCCAAAATTCTGCTCAAGATCTACAAGAGATGGAAACAGCAAACACACACTAATATTCTAATAGCTACATAATTTCATGATGGACATAAGGATTGCATAGGTGAAACTTTGTGCAACCCAGCTCTATGTCCTTCTCACATTATGGTTTTATG